GTGGGCGAGGTTGGTGATTCTATCGAAATAAAAGATACGGTAAAACAATGAATAATGATTTAGGATTTAAATTATTAAAAATTTATCATTTCACATTAAAAAATTTATATAATGGAAAAAATATCATATTTACAATTTATTTATATTTAATAAATTCATTATAAGTTATGGTAAAAAAAAATATTAAACTTTTGTAATTTTATCTGAAATTATTAAATACAATAAATCAAATAATTAAAAATAGATGAAAAAACCGTACATCGCACGGGCTTCCATCTAAAACTATATATTATAAGAAAAATCCTCTTTTAGATCTCATTTTATAAATTTTCAAACTTTATAAACACCCTAGCATGTGAGCGCCCTGAGTAGATTCATACTCCATATAAAGTTTGGATTTAGTAAAGAGTAAAAATATACCCAAATCCACATAAACATAATCAAATCAGCCGTTTCTCTTTCTTCGTTTCCTTAGATTCCACGACAGGGTTTGTCCAGTAATCTTCCTCCGTAAATTTTTTTTTTTTTTTTTTTTTTTTTTTTTAGCATCGAATATCAATTTCACAATCTAGTTTCGTTGATTTTCTTTTTTTTCAAGCTTAATTTTGATAATTGAGTTAAATTTGGTTGGAGGATTTTGCTTGTTTACAAGAATTTCGGTTATAACCCTTGATTAGAATTCTGTTAGATATTTGATTCGAAAAAGGCATTGGTGGCAGTGTTGCAATATCCAGGTTTTTACAGTATCTTGTAATCGCGAGTCAATATGGATTTGAGCTTGAAACCATTTACTGCAACTTATACTCAACGCTTGGTAGATAGGCTCACCATTTGCTGCTGCTACTTCCGTCTTGTCTAACACATTCAGGCGTCTTTTCTCTTGGACCACGACCCTCGACTTTGATGTTTCACCTATATCTTTTTGTGTTAAACATCTTTCGTGCACTTTGTCGCTACTGTACTACAAGCACACCAATCACAGTATATAAACAAAGTTAGCTGCCAGGACTTTGGTAGAGTGTGCTTTAGTTATAGTTTTTGCACTTTTAGTGGGTGTGGCCTAGGTTGCCTCCCTGACTTTGACTTTAAATCTCTGCGACTGAATGCGTGGATCTCTATCCATTGACCCTTTGCGGCCTTAGGGACCTTGACCTCTGTATTCTCGTGAGGGAGCCAGGTAATTATCAACTGCCTCCGGCTATTTTCACGAGGGCGCCCCAATTACTCACTGTGAGAAACGTTTTTGTTTCTCACGGTGGCAGTTTCGTAAATAAAATGTACCACTTTAGTCACGGTGGTACATTTAATTTACGAAATGGATGATAAATTGTATCACTTTAGTCACGGCGGTACATTTTATTTACGAAACTGCCACTGTGAAAAACAAAAACGTTTCTCATAGTGAGTAACAGAGATTTACTGTATTTTCACATGTCAAACGTTGGAGGTATTGAAACTTGAGGTCAATATTGGTCTTGATCAAGTTTTCACCATGTCATCTTATCGTCTTCCAAACTTGAAACTGCTCCTCTTGTATGCAACTTTCATTGCTGAGGATGACTTTCTCTCCCGGCTAGTTTCAAGTTGCCCTGTACTTGAAGACCTTAAATTCAAATCCCTTACGAACCATGTGAACATCACTGCTATCACGTCCACTTCCCTCCGAAGATTGTGTTTGCATATGCATAAATGTTCTGATTTCGATGAAGATAACACTGATTTTGTGCTAATCAATACTCCCAATCTGGAGTACCTTGAATACTACGATAATTTAGCAAAATGTTAATCTCTAAAATGCATTCTCTGGTTAAAGCAGTTCTTGTGATAGAATGTGCCTTACAGTTTCAAGTATCTTTTCAGCAAATAATTAACCTCATTAGACCCTTGTCTAATGCTCAACATTTATCGTTGTATGGCTGTTTCTGATCCGGGTTCTCTTGCTCAATCGTCGGCTATAGCCAGCTGCAACCTAACCGAGACCTTCTCTGAGAGGCAGAAGAGGACTCTGGAAGGAAGGTGTAACGGTAGGTGCCTGACTTTTGGGCCTAAACTCAACCTAAGGCAGCCTTTCTATTTCAAAGCGAGCCCGTAGACTCGGACTATGGCTGTGGATATCAAGTCAAGTATACGAACTCCCCGCAGCTGCCACCGTTGGAACTAATAAAGCAAATGATTGACCCATCAAGTTTATGGCCGCTTCTCTACGGTACCAGTTGTTGTTTCATTGAATTTGCCTCAAGAAAAAAGGCCGCTGCGGGAACTTCCTTTTCTGAGGTGGGGTGAAATCCGCAAATCTACGAAGGAAGGCTGGGGTTATGGAATTTTCCGGAAAGTGTGAAATAAGAATGTGGGTATGTCTCAATCTCTAATTTGTTATTCTTTTTTTCCCTTCCTTTTATTATAGTAAAAGAAAGGAAATCTTAGAAAATAACACCACAAAAAAACCAAAATTTTGATTATAACGCCATAAAAAAAAGAAAAAAAAAGAACCTTTTATTATAACACCACAAAAGAACTCAAAAATTTGATTTCACCACCTCATAACGGATTTTTGGATGGAATCCGTTAGTGGGGTCATAACTGACATGTGTCAAATGCCTATTAATTTTTTATTAACTTATTATAAAAAAATAAAAATAAAAAAAAAAACCTAAACCCAAACCCAGCCACCAGCACCACCTTTCCCCAGCTGCACTAACAGCCTAATCCAAGCCGCCAGCTCCAGCCCCCACGAAACCGCCGAAACCATCCCTTACTCTCTTCCCCCTCCCGAAAACCACCCAAGCTCCGCGTAGCGTCACATCTCCAACCACAAATTCGCACCGAACAACCCCGCAACCACCTCCGCCACTGCACAAAACCAATTCCCACCCCTTTGAACCACCGAAAATGTCGATTCGCACCGATCCAGTAGATTGTGGTTGGTATTTGCGATGGTTCGTAGGTGATGGGGTTCGAATTGGTTGTGATTGTGGTTGGTGTTTGCGGTGGTTCGAAGGTGCTAGGGTTTCAATTCGGCAGTTAGGGTTTCGAGTTGGTTGGGGTTTCAACGGTGAAGTTGCTATTGCAGTGGGTAGGTGGTGAATTGCAGTGGGTTTCGCCGGTTTTGGTGGGGCATGAGTGCCGGCGGTGGGGGACAGGTGGTGCCGCTGGTGGGGTTGGGCTGGGTTAGGTTGTTTAGGGTTTTTTTCCTTTTTTTATATTTTTTTTATTAATTTTTTTAAACCAATAGTTTAGTGACATTTGTCTGTTGTGGGCCTTACTAATGGATTACATCCAAAAATCTATTAAGTGGTGCTGAAATTAATTTTTTGGGTTTTTTTGTGGTGTTATAATAAAAGTTTTTTATTTTGTGGTGTTATAATCAAATTTTGTGTTATTTTGTAGTATTATTTTCTAAAAAATCCTAAAAGAAAGGATGAATTTATGGAGTATGAAATTTACCAGTTGCTTAATCTTTGTTGTTAGGAGTTCGACTTTGCTGGTGAAACGGTCTTAAAGGATGAACTACCCATGTTTCCTAATCTGAAACATCTAAAGCTGAATGGTGATGCTGAAAACTACTGGAATAATCTGTTGTTGCCCTTTCTCAACTGTTCACCTGTCTTGGAAACACTTGAATTTGCAGAGGTTGGTGTGGTTTTATTAACATATATATGGGCGATGCTGAATCTCTAAGCGGATTTTTTTTTAATTCTAATTATTATTGTCGCCTACTTTGCAGGGACTCGCTAGGAATCATGGTGACACAATAGGCGAGGATGGGAGAATGGCACTGGAACGAGAGTTTTTTACTTCAGATCAAGAAATTCCTTTATGTTGCAGGTATCATCTCAAAAGAATATTGATAAAAAAAAAAATACTATGGATTAGAACAGGAAGAAGTAATTATCCAGTTTCTCCGAGACATGCATTAGTTTTGGAGGAACTAGTCATATGCTTGGCTCGAAATCCAAATCCAATTCAAGATCAGATGTCAGTTGAGGACACATTGAAAAATATGCCAAGAGCCTCCGTCACCTGTTCAATTCAAGTATTATGATCACCATGGTCCATGTTAACATCTATCTATTCTTACCTACAAGTTGTCCTAATGCTTTCGGGAAGGCGCCTTGGATTTTTTTTTTTTTATGTATCTTATAGGAAAATTTAGCACTTTGTTTTCATTATGATGCAGGCATCAAAATCAAACTTTTAAAGTGGCGTTAAACCAAAAGTTATGCAGATTAATCAAATTAGTGTTTGTTTTCATAATTAGTTACCAGTGTCAACTAAATGATTTTAAAGAAACAGGAACTCAAAGGCCTGCAACAAAATTTACTTCCAGCAAAAATATGTAGAGTATGATTACTATGACAATAATCCATTACATGACCATGACCTCAATTGTACTCTAAATTAAGGCATAAATATAAAACACCTGATTAAATTTGTCAGAGCAGCAAAACTGGCAACTTATTATTACCACAATCCACTTTCAGCTGCCGCAAAAACCATAAGGATTGCAGTCGAATCCCACACCTATGACCATCTTGTGAGACACAAAATAGACCTGCAAGATAATTGCACATAAAATCAGATATGAGTTTGAAGATAAAAGTAATGAAGCAGCAGTTTCCTGGTGAAGTTGATGAGAGGATGCTGACCCACATCACGGGGAGGCAAATTGCGGAATGCAACACTTTGTGCCAAAGGTGATGGACCAACATCATCAACAAAGTTTATCATTGAGTTATGACATGAAGATCCACAAAGAGGGGGAATTTGGAAGTACCTGTTATCAGCACTACCAGAAAAACTCAAACTTAAAGAATTCAAAAGGAAAAAGCCATGGTTTCTTTAGAGAGAGGGGGAGAGAGGAAGAAAAAATAATTCTAGCAAAGACGATGTATGCAAACAAAATAATCTTATTTCCAATGACTAAGAAATCAGAAATATGAGCAGAGAAAAACAAGTTGCTGAACTGCACTCAGCCCCAGTTGACAAGATTGCAATCTTAATTGTAGATAAAAATTGGCAGGCACTTACACCAAGCTAGGCTAGAACAATACTAAATTGTTCTTTTGCCTACAAACTGATCGTTTCTCCCTCTCTTACATTATTATTAGTACCTCTCATAAATCAAATGAAGCTTCACAATTTAGAATATGATAGCTCTTACCATATTGACCAAAATGGAAGGCCAAAAGTACACAATTTTGAAGTCCAAATAATACTCCCTATGTTTCAGAGTAATTCAACATTAAGATCTATAATTATACAAAAGAACGAACTACAAAAGTTGATAAACAGAAAAGGAACTGCAGCCTAAGCAACTTCTGGCAGGGTAGCAGATTATAGTCACAGGAACGTGACTAAGCACCAAAGTGATGACTTGCCATAACTGGGCCAAAGAATGTTAATTATAAGAAGCATTGCCTCCTGAGTCCTGACAAAGAAGAAGAATCAGGTATCCAACCTCTATTTATATAGCACAAACTAACTAGATCTTCTAACCAATATAAAAGCAGAATGCATCATAACAATTAATCATATGGTGTCTTCAAGGCTTTTTCCTTTGAGCTACTGACATCACATCTGCTCGAATGAGGACTTGCAAAAGCTAATAATGTAGCTTTGCTTCAGTATGGATATGTTGAGTTGCTGGCTGCTGGTGTGAAGCTAGTGTGACAGCTAACATAAACCAATAGAAACATATTAAACTTGAGAACAGAAATTAAAGAAATATAAAATCAAGAATATGCAATAATGCATCGATGCATCGTACCTTCAATACGATAGCCAAGTTGTAATTGCTACCAAAGGTAGCATAAACAACAATCCACGATTCACAAAAGTTTCTACATCAACTATACTATCGACTTTGTTTTGCAGAGTACCCCACATCTTGTGAATAGGGCAAACTTGATCCTTCAAAGTGCAAAAATAAACTTCCGCTATAAGACTCATTACAGCCAATAAACTTTGGACTTAAATCAAAAGACTTAACAAGACTTTACCACTGTGTAAGAGATAGTTTCCAAATCACTGTCAGCTAGCAGCTCTCTTTGTTTCTGCAAGTCAGCTTGCTGCTCATGTGACATGCTTCTAATATTACTGCTTAAATTCTTGTTTGAGAATGCTTTATACGCAGACTTCGTGTGAATTGTTTCCATGACTGAGCCAAAGAAGTTTGTCACAGGAACCTGAACAGGGAGGGAGAATAGGTTAGTAAAAGGTGTGATAAGGGCACGTAAAAGAAAGTAGTTACCAATGATTGGATAAAAAATTTATCATTTCCATCTTTTATTTCTAGCTGGGATTAAAAAGATCTACTTTTATATTCCTTCCACCTCTAACCAACCGTAATGGAACTGATATAAGGAGAAAAGCAACATAAAATAAAAAGGAGACAAGGAGCAGCATATCAACACTATGAGACAAAACTAATAAGGAAGCACTAGGAAGTACAGCAACATGGACTGTTTCTGATAGCAGTAAAAGACAAGCTTAAAAAAGGTTAGGTTATCTTTGTTATCTTTTGTGACTTTGCTTGATTCTATAAGGAGTAGTAGCCTATGCAGTAGAACATTATGTGAATGGAGGAAACATGTTGAGATTAGTAGCCTCAAGTTACTTAAGAGAGTGATAACCTATAGTTATCAAAGAGAGTATTAGCCTAAAGCTATTAACCCATCATTTTGTAACCTTTTAGCCATCATCAATCAAGCTTCAAGCTTCCATCTTTATGATTTCTTCTTATTTTATCAATTAAACAAAATCAGATATCTAGTCTAACCCAAACAAAAGCATGGAAGACTAGTGAGCTTGTATGAATCAATATTTGATCAGAATCTTCAACAATGTTGTTTGTGACAATGGCAAAGAAAATGTTGACTACGGCTAAGCAAGGGGATTCTTTGTCCTGTGTGCATGTCTACTTTAACAAATATTTATTGGGAAAGAGTATGTAATCAAACAAAGACTTTAGGCAAAAGTGGCAGGTCGTACTAATGCTGCTAATCTCAGATGCATACCATAGGGAAAGAACTTCATACATCATATGGGTGCAAAGCATCACATACCTCTTCTAAATTGCGCTTGTATAAATCAGTTCGGTAATATGCAGTCGACATGAGCAAATTTGGTTTGTAAGAATTGAACAAACTGTTACAAATACAAGTCTAAACAAGATTAGTTGCAAAAGGATAAGGGATTAAGGGTGTATACAAAATTAATGCAATTACATTTCTATAAAAGACTAGTTGCTACATACCTGCTCAAGGAGGCATTGTCATACATATTTAGCCTTTCAAAAAAAGCAAGGGTATAATAAGTGAAGCGATCTACAACAGAAACTCCAACCTGAAAAAAAAGAAGTCTTATAGTATGTAACACTGTTGCAGCCTCATTCATTAAAAAATTTGATTAATGTTAGGAAGCAACACACTTACATCCGAATCCAAGTGGTGAGAATAAGAATTTTCCCCTTTCATGCTGCTCCCAATTGCCAAAACACCAGGTGATTGTAGCTGCAAGGTTAAAAACTACATTATGTTCCACAAATGGGGTGCAAACCGTTCAAGATTTTTCACACATTCCATAAGCCTATCTACATGATCTCTCAAATTGTGGATAAGTAGACAACCAACTAGCTTAGTTGGGTTAAATTCTTGAGGGTAATACTCAAGACCTGGGATTAAATCCGGTCTTCACCCTTTGCCCTTGTGGCTTTCCCAAAATAAATTTAAAAAAAAAAAAAAAGAAAAAAAGAAAAAGGTGATTTCACAAATTTCTCAGTAGCTTAATCTTCACTTTTATGAAAGAAGCTCTACCTTACAATGGATAAATCCCCTTACGGCTCCCCAAAAAGGGGGCAGAGGGATGAAAGAAAGGAAAAGAAAGAAAAGGGGTAAAAAATAAGGAAACGAATTCAGTACCCCTACAAAAAAACTATAAACAAAATTAAAAAAAAAAATCCTCTTGACTAGCTGAGAGTGGAAGGATGGCTATATACAAGGAACCCCCACACAGGGTAGCAATTTCAAAGAAGTTTAGGAATACACTGGGGACTCCTTCATGAAATAAAAGCAGTGACCAAACTTTCATAGAATATTCTGAAGGTAGCAAAGGAATATGAAAAGAACATCCCTACATTATAATCACTCTTTTATCCTTACTCGGATTTGTGACGTGAGGCAGTCACGAGTCAATAAGATGATATGCACATACATGAAATAATTCTAACCTGGTTGAAAAGAGTGGCAGCTTGGCAAGTGTCAACCATTATCAAAAGCTCCTTGAATCTGAAACGGAGAGCAAACCGTAGGCATTTTAGAAACTTAAAGTTAAATTGTTTCCATCTAATCATCTTAACAGAAAAACTGCAGCTTTAGATCAAACAAGCAACTTAATCTCAACTTCAGGATTAATTCCATGCAAGGAACAAAGCTCAAGGCACTCTCACAATGTTCTGAGTAAAAATCACAATTGTGACTTAGACATACAATATGTACACCTAGGAGGCTAGGATAACCTATTTTGTGGTATGTTTGCTTCATAAACATAGTTATGGAACACAATACCAAGTTACCAACGTCATAAAAATTTTCTATGATGCTTGTACAGGAATATTCCAATTTACTAATATGCCATAGCTTGGAATGTAACTTATCTGTTTGGATACATTTTAATCCAAACCTAATTACAAAAGTTCCAAATTATTTGCCTAATAGTACTACTAAAAGTCCAGGATTTGAAGCTTTTAGTATTGTTGGATCGAAAAAGTAGCCATTACTTTCCCCAAAAACATAAAAGTAAAATAGAAATGAAACAATTACTTAGGCTTCTTTTAAAATAGCTCCAGTAAGGCGATCCAAATTTGGACTAATAAGTTCCGAGATAGAGGCCTAAATTCATAACCAAAAATATTAGGGATGGCAAATAGGTGGAACAGTTGTTGATACCCCACCCACTACCACCATCACATACCACCTACAAATTCTATGCCCACCACCTATCCCACTACCCATGGCAAATTCGTATTCAATATCTATGCCCACCTAAGCACAATAAGCTTAGATCCACATCCGCCTCACCAACCAAGTAGACATCTTCTATCCACCAATACTTATTACCCGAAAACCTCATATACTTGGCTCAAAATGCTTGGATAAGACAAGTCCAAAAAAGAAAATAAATTCAGATTAAAGGAAATAAGGTGAAAAGAACGACTTCAGTTATAACTGTTGCAAACATGTCTCAGAGTCAAACACATTCTTTTAGTGCTAAGGGAAAATTGCATACAAAGTTCATGCAAAGTAAAGGCCCACAAATTTTGAAAGAAAAGAATTGGGAAATTATACATGGTGTCCTTGTAATATATAATTTTAAATTCCACTAAATGGAGTTTTTTCTTTTTTTTTTTTGTCATACTCTCAAGTGACCCTCTACTTTTGCATAACTATATAGGGTGCCCTCATTGTTGTTATATATGATACCCTAGCCATAAAATGATTAATCTTTGACCTTGATCTAACAATAATTAACTCACCCCTAGTTAACACCACACCACAACCTAAGCACCAAAACCACCCCATCATTGACCTCACCACCGTCAAACCACCATTACCATCAACTAGCCACCACCACTACCACCCATCCACCACTACTGCCTCCCAGCAGCCACCACCACCACCCTTTTCACACCTTAAACCAGCCAGATAGAGAATGCAAATAGGTTTAAAGCGTGTAAGCCCAAAAACCTATATAATAGATATAGATGAAAGAAGAGGGCAGAAATCTAATGGAAATACCAATTGCCACTCAACAAGGAGGAAGGTAAAACCCTTAATTTTTGTCAACACAAAACAAATAATGCACGGAGTAAAAATATGCAAGTATTTTGTGAAACTATAGACTGGAACAGTTAAACTGGTAAAGACAACAGGACCCAAATTATATAATTTCATCGATCAGAATACGCATTAAACACACATCAAACAAGATAAATGTCAAAGACATATCCTCCTTGCTATCTTTACAAAATACTCTCCATTATTGGACTGTAACCATGTACCCAACTAAAAAAGTGATAGTAAGCACTAGAGACAACTAGCTTTTATATCTTCTGATCAATGGTAGCAATAATCACAATATATGGTCAACAATTGAGGTTACCAATAATATAAATTTATGATAACATATGCATACTTTTAATTGCTATAAGTTGAATTATCTGGACGTGTAACATAATTTACCTATGCTTTTCTTTCATTTGTTTCACTGCATCTGCTAAATCATGGCTCTGAAGTTCCTCGGAGTCTTGAAACTTCAAAAATTCATCCCCACCATGACCAGTCATATACAGAAGTATATGGCTTCCTTCATCACTTAACAACCGTTTGGACCTTGGAACAGCGTCTTCATGTCGCCCTGTTAAAACCCTCATGAAGTTTTCAACAGTCACCTCATAACCTCGATAATCAACCTGCAGACCAGTCAGATTGAATTTCATCATATAATTATATGATATTGTGTCATTGTACACAATACTAAAAGGATTCATAATTCATAGAGTCAAATACTAGTTATACACCAAAAGTTGAGACAGCCTCAACATCCTGCCAGAATTACCAATCACTATGTTGAAAGGCTGGGATGCATAAGGGGCTGCACACATTGTTTACAACAAAACAAGATATAGATATTATCCAGCCCTTCAACCCAAGGGAAAATACAAAGATAAAGGGAGAATATACCCATTGTGATTGATGAAAAATACGCAATATGAAATAAGATATCCACAAATAAGTCACCAAAAGTATAAGTAGCATATTATTAAAGAGTGATATGGATTGTGGAAGAGAAAGAGTAAATGATATGATGACTACATCCATCCATTGTTCATTGTGGTTTTATAGCATACACTGAAATAAAGTACACTGGCAGTAAAACTGTACAATTAGGAACTAAGAAGTATAAACTCAAAAAGAATTAAAAAATAGTTGAAGTATATAAGAATGCACCTCAACATTGTCTCCATACAAATTTAGTCGATGGTTTTCATTGTTGAAAACTTGAGCAGGGTACTTATTTCTTGCATTACAAGCCATGTCATCAGCTAACATAAGTATTATCCTCTCATCCGGTATCCCTAGTCTTTTAACGGTCCTAAAAATGGAAAGAAAAGATATCTTAACAAATTGGGAGACATGAAATAACCAATTATAGGAGAGTTAAGTGGATTAATATGATTTTCTTTTACCTATACAAGGATAGGGTATTGGCCATGTGTCGATAGTTGAACCTTCAAAATAAAGATGAATCAAGAAGTTTGACCTCAAATCAAAGCAGTGCTAAGAGACTTTCACAAACACGAGCTTAAGACAAATCATTTCGAAGGTAAAAAATATAACACCGCAATTAAAGAGAAACAAGCTCCTCTAAGAATAGGCTTATCATCTTTTTTTCAATTTCCAACAAAAATAAGTCATCTAGGTGCAGTGAGACAGTGTATAGAGGCAAACACACCAAATATTGCACGGTAAAACGGTTTATGGATTATAGAAGCACGGAAACAATTGCTCTGAATAATGATCAAAACATGCAGCATATGTAGTATGAGATTATTAAAGCATGAACCTTCCCTATAAAGTAGCATGATACGGCTACTACACATTAATCGCTCCATTAGCCCTTTTATCCTACTGAAATTGATAATATGAATGAATAACAGCACTAATTTAGCCAAAAAGAACTTCAAAATTAGGGATCAAAATAACTCCATCTCCCAGAAAAGAAAATCATTTCTCTCTGCAGGGTGAAACCCTCTTGGCTTCGGCCGAGTTCATAAAATCTCACACCAGCTCAACTTCAAAAAGATGGAAATGCTTAAACAGCAACACCATACTTTTAAATTCTATAGAAATTGTTAGTATTACTAAAATTAACTTTCAGAATAAATATTCTTCATTTGAAATTGTAAACTCTAAATTGTATTTTTGATATAAATGCACAGAATTTGTGGGTATTCTTTAGAAGCAAAAGATTGAGCTAATAAACAAGAAATACACAAGTAAAACATACAATTGAAATTTTACAACAAAGTTATCTAGTCAATCATTAAAATACCAACTGAATCTAATTGGGTATCATCAAATACAAAAATTGGGAACATTTACAAGAACTAAATTAACATGAAATGGAGGAATTTACCAAAATCGAGAGGTGCAGACTAAAACAGCCCAGTTATTGGTGTGCATTGTGGTGGAAGTAGATGAACTCGATTCTGCAGCAACAACATTGTAATCATCCAATGAAAGCAGTAATAATAAGGGAAGAACAAAAATGGGTAAGATTTGATTCATCTTTATTGCCATTAATATGCAATTTTAAGAAAATTTCGGAGCTTGAAGCTTCAGACTTCAGAGATCGCAAACCAAAAGAAAAGGCGTGCTCTTGTTCAAACTAGCCCCACATTTTTCCTTGTTCTTTCACCCATAGAGTAATACTGTAATTTAATGATAAATGAAAATTATTCCCGAAAAAAAAAAAAAAATTAAAAAACTACTCCGTGAAAATTTACGAGTAAAAGTATCTATTTGCGGGTTACAACCATTAAAGTTTATTTTTTCAAATACAACCAAGCATATTAAAATACAACTAAAATCCGATTCTCGACCACTTTTATCGAAATATGACTGTAATTAATGAGGCGAGATGGACAGCTAAGCCCACCCAATTTGGCCTAGACAACAATTTTGAAAGAAATTAAATATTTGGCTGGGCTAAGCCTTGTTCGTGAATAAAATATGGGTTGAAATGCACAAGACGCTAGAATAGACTTGGTGCACCAACAGTTTATTGTGCACCCAACCCTTTTTTTAAAATAAATTCACCTTTTAGATTTATTTGCAACATATCTTCCTAAATTGCTTTCTCTCTCCTTTATTATGACTCGAAAAATGGTTGTATCACATAAAAGGTAACTATATCACCCGAAATCGAAAGGTAATTATATCATTCAAAAAGTGATTATAACAATCAAAGGGTAAGTATATCACCCAAAAAGTGATTAGTAATTATATCATTCGAACGGTAATTATATCATCCAAAAGATAATTATATCATTTGACTAAATTTTAAAAAATACGACTATACCATTCAAAATATGACTCACAACAAGCTAATCAATATAATTTAATACTAAAAGTGAAACCATCGATGACACATGTCATTCACTGGTTAAAAATTTTCCCTCCATTTTTTCTTTCCTTTTTTTTTATTTTGTCAATTCTTTATGAAAAATATTCTAGTGAAATATTTTTATATGTATATATTTTATATTAAGTAACTTTTTGTAATATTCTACAAAATTTCTATAATATTCTAATGAATTATTATTATTATTATTATTATTATTATTATTATTATTATTATTAGGAAAAGCCTTACTTTTATAATAATCTCATGCTAAATTTTTTTTTATAATAGTATTTGATGTTTCATTATTTTCCTCACCTTACTTACATATTATAACAAAAACCTACGATTCACTTATTTTTAAATATTTGATTTTTTTATATATATATATTTTTTTGAAACAAATCAATTTATTTATAAAAAGCCATACGGCATCTACAATCAAAAATTGATTTTTTTTATATAGAAATAAAGTTAAATAAGTTAATTAAACTTACATAAACCAATGTGTATGTCAAACTATGTCAACAAAATAGGGACAGAATAGGGTATATAGCATGTGTTCTAAATAATTAATAACTCCTAATTTTTTTTCCTTATATTTATAATGTCCAACACATCAATAGCCTTTACCTGCATCATTGTCAAAAAAAAAATGATGTCTATATAGATAAAAACAAAAAATAATTTTTTTTTAAGGTTATAAATGTAGGTAATTCTTTGTTAATATATAATTGTTAAATTAATGTTATAGTTTATTATATAATTTTATAAAATCCGTGCATCGCACGGGACTCTAACTAGTCTATCTATATACATATATTAAAACTCAATTGGAAGACATGAACCCGCCATGTGTCATCATGACTAGGCAGATGATGTGGCGCCATGTCATACGATTACTGTTATTCATCTAACAAAATTGATAAATTGTTAAAATTAATGTATGAGCTCATGACCTCATGTTCATCATACTTTAACTTTAACCACTAGTCCAATAACACATCTTATGTCTATAATATTTTGTTAAAAAAACTTAACCATGAACTTGAAGATTTAATAACAAAAAATAATCTAATTTCGTTTTTTGCTCATACATAAAATAAAACCTATAGCTATTTTTTGTATATGTATCCCAAAATATGTATCGATGTTCAATAGTGATTGAAAAAATATATTTTAAATAATGCTATAGTAAATGTAACTAATTTCATCCATATTTATATTTCATCGTATAATTTTTATTACTATGTATAAAAGCTCATTTTCAATTTATATTATATAATGACCCGGGGTATCGTCAGGGCCAAAAACTAGTTATATTATTAAAAAGTGATTATATCATCCAAAAGTTGACTATATTATTTGGGAGTGTCTAATTATTGGGTCAACAATAGATTTGGTGTAGATTGGGTCCATACAAGACCTTCTATATTACAGCAGGCTAGCTCACACAACCCATATATAAAATAAAACTAATATTTTAATACATACTTTTTCTTTTTACAAATTACTAGGTATTTTTTTTTTTTTGATGGGGAGTACTTAGTTAATTATGCAGGAATGCTTTTGAAAATAAATACGGGAAAATATATTGGATTTTAAGCTTTTATTGGTTATAATTTTATTTTATTACTTATGTTATCACTAAAGATTTATTAAATTACTCAATTTTTTCACATGTCACAATTTCAACCTTTTAATTTCTATTATTATTTGTGATCGAGAAATTATAAATGACTTAACCAAAACAATTTATTTATAAATATTAAATAGAGCAATTATGTGAAAAATAAAATAAAAATTTTAGGTTCATTAGCTCGCGAGCAAGGCCAACCTGAGTATGTACAAGTAGTCAAGTCCGCATAAAGAAATTGGTTTTGCTACATTTAGCTCATTAGACAAAAAAATTAACTAGTACATTAGCCTAACCCGTTTCTCTTCCAATCCTGCAAACGATCACCTCTAAATTTTAAGAGAGGGGCAAGAATAAACAGATCTGATCTCCACCCTCAAAGTTCCCATGAATATGAACTAAGTTTGAAAGATTTATTTTTGAGGGAGCCCTAGTAGAGATGGCAATGGATCAGATTTGGATCGGATTGGATCGGGTGGAGCTTTACCCACATCCATCCATTATTCCAATCGCTCCATCAACATCCATTCGTCACGCGCTTCACCCATCATCCATATCCATCTGTCCATCGTCCGCGCATTAAACGGGTAGAGCAGATGACTAATGGATGAGTATTTAAAGTGAAAAAAAATCTACATAGACTCTACTTTTCGGTTATTTATACTTTTTTTTTTAATAAAAAAGAAAACAATAACAACATATTGTTTAAGAAGTTAATTTGCAACAAAAAAAAATAAGTAATTATAATTCTTAGATAAATTTTTTAATATATGTTATGAAAGGAATAGTGTCCTTCGAACAAGTGTATTATTCTGATAGAGGGTTCGGAATTGATTAGAAAGCTAATTATTCAGTGAGGTCAAGTGATCGGAATGCCTAGCTGGAGGCCGCTTCCGATCAGTAATATTAATGAATAATTAATGTTACAACTTAATCTTGACTGAACCCTTCGGGTCACACCCAATCGTATAACCGAACCGAAGCGACGAATTAATCTGAAGGATTAAATGAGTCAATAGAGATTTTACAAAAACTAAGACATCGGACTCCAAGCTTATAACGTCGAATCCGAGCGTCGAACGTTGAACGTCGAGTCGTTTCAAGGAATCGACGAGACGAGAAAATAAGTCAAATGACAAGTCATCGGACCTAGCCTTGGATTGGCCGAGCCAACCGAGGACTAGGCCGCGCTAGCTAGCATGGCTGCTAGCCATGGACTAGCCTCGACAGCAGGCCCAACAGCCACGTGTGTGCGCTAGCCGAGCATGCTAGCAGCGAAGGGGCCATGCGCGCGTTGCCTTGTGGGTGAGCTAGCAGCGCTAGCATCAACCCGCAAGCATACGAGCAGGCCAATATGCTAACAACGCTAGCACCATCCCGCAAGCACGCGAGCAGGCCTAGCAGCAGCCCGCTAGCTCGCTTGGGTTTGCGGCATGCTAGCAGGCCTAGCCGAGGGCAAGGTCGCCAGCTAGGCGAGCCTTGAGGCCCAAGGCATGTGGTCGGTCTTCCTTGTGTTGACCAAGTATGTGAGTTGGTGGGTTTATGCTTGCTCTCCAAGGATGAGTTTGTGGTCCTTACCTACTCCCTCCCTCATGTTGACACTTGTCATTTGACTATTGCATAGGTTATTTACTTTAATTTGGAATTAAATTAATTGCTTATTTTCACATTTTACCAACTATCCCACATTGAAAGATGATGGGAATTCTTGGGGAGATTTCCCTATAAATACCCATCATGGGGTATTGGGATTTTCACTTGAGTTGGTGAACTCTAAGGGATCTCCAAAAGCGAGAAAACCTTTGTTCGTAAACTCTAAGTTATTTTTGGTCTAGCTCCGACTAAGCTTCGGGGTAGGGACCGGTTATGGTTCGGTAGCGAGGGTATGAGCCGTTGGAGGTTCTCGCACTTGCGAAACTTGAAGCTTTCAAGTCCAGGCTCAACGGTTGAGCGAAGTACGCTACAATGGTGAGCATTCTTTTTCTCCTCTCTCTTCTCTTATGTTTATGTTTATTTTGCATGCTTTTATTTATGTTGTAATTATTATGCACGCGATTCGGTTATCAGATTTTGTTTCCCCGCGGTGTCGGACACCGCAAAATCCAACATGTTAAATGGGTGGGTGGGTGGATGGTTAGTGAGTGAAGTAGAGTGTCATCCACATCCGATCCAATCCATCACCTGCTTCATCCGTCACTTGCTTCTCATCCATTTAATTTGGTTTTTATCCATTTATTTAAAACGAGTAGAGCGGGTTAGCGGATATCCATTTAAAATTGCCATCCCTAAGCCCCAGTTTATTTTCATGATAAACAAAAATCATTTATCTAGTGACATTTATGTAAATAAATCAATAAAATTTCTCAATCAGCATGGCATTTGCGTAAATAAATCAATATTAGTCGGACCCCTATTTAATAAACATTGTTGTATTGACAGGAATACCACTAGTTAAACACACTTTTGTTTATCATGAAGATAAACATGTATTTTCTCTTTTTTTTTCCTCCCTTTACTATTTAGGTCAATACTTGATGATTAATTCAAAAAATAAAAAATTAAAAAATTAAAAAGTTAAAAATTAAAAATTAAGGAGTATAATTTTGCCATTTGAGAAAAATTGCATTTATTTACAACTTTGTCATTTGAGAAACTTAGACTAGAATTTCTCGTTATCATATGCCAATATTATATCCCGGTACTAAATTCATCTAATACAATATAACAAATTATGAAACAAAACTAAACAAACATAAGAAGTATATAATTAACAAACACAAACTTGCATCTATTATGTTTGAGTGAATATTGATAATGGAGTATAATTTTGGACACACATGACCTTGAGTAAACATATACTCCCTCCGTCCCATAATACCACAGTTACCATTTTCGTCCGTCCCAAAATACATGATACGTTACTAATTATAGAATGAGACCACAAACAAAAAAAAAATATTTTCTTATACTCTTTTTGGGACCACAAACCACAAAACCCAATTAAATCCTACATTTTCTCCCTCCTCATTACCCCCACCTTTCCCACTTTTTGTTTTTTTACAATATAAAAATACAAAAGAGAATCCTTTATATAATAAACAAATGTTTTAAATGAATTCACTTGTAATTTTCTTAAATTACGTATTCATCCCAACATCCCAAGTATTATGGGACGAAGGGAATATATACATAGAAAGTTGTTCCTTTTTCAAAGACTATACTCTGAAGTCTGAACTCATGTATACATAATCAGCAAAGGAAGAACAAACAAATCTCATCCTCTTGCCATGGCCTTCAATTCCAACTTGTAAATCACATTTCTTGAAATTATAAGCTTTTCATTATTGCCGCATCAATTGCGCAGTACATGTATAAAATGGCATATGCACAACTCCTAGTACTTTATTTTCACATGTAATAACCTATATACTCCATGGACATAAAAAGTCTGTATCACCCTGTAAAATGGGCAAAAAGAAAAAATAAAAAATCAACCTCGGGAAATCTTTGGATATTCCTGACATATGTAGAGGCTTGAGAACGGATGATTTACTGTCTTCACCCATCTTTCAGATGAGGTTAACAAGACTCCATGGCCACACAAGGCAAAATGTATGTACGATAAAGTATGTTCTTCAGGTAAAATTTTTGAAATCATACTGTCTGCCACTCCAACTCTACATGTATAATTCCATTCTTTGAATTGATCAGATTGTATTTCTCATTGAGTCGTCCATTGTTCACAACATCTGCTAGAGTGATCTCCACAAACCCAAGTGACTCCTGCACAATATAAAGTCCTCAGTTAATTGACATGGAATAGTAGTAGCAGACAGCTTTAAGATCCTATAACTAAGGCAATTGATAGGAGCATATTTTTACTTTTCTTGTAAAACCAAAAGTTCTGCGTTTGCTAAGAATTTCAATGCACAACTTTTCATGCAAAGGTGGCTCGTCAATCATAAAACTAAAGTGTTCATCCCACCGTGGATTCCGATTCTTCTTGATAGTCTGCAAAAATATGTACATTCATCAGTGTGAAATTTATGAATATTTTTTCAACCTATTAAAAATTCAAAGAAATTGATGTATTTTGAAACAGATGGAATTGAACTTGAGCGACTGCACATTCTTGAGTAAAGGCATTTTTTCGATAAAAAACAAGTCCAACAAAAACTATACAAAAGCAGTTACTGTCACTTGAAAAAGAAATTGATAAAATAAGATGGAACTTCAGTATAACCCTACCTATTTCTGTCTGAAAATTCTCACATGAACCAGATTCAGGAAAAACATGAATACTCAAGCACCTAATATTTTGGTTTAATGCATCTCCTAAAAAAAAAAAAAAAGAAAGAAAGAAAACTCCTTACATTTTAGCACCATGCAAATTTTGCCTGAAATCATGGCCTAGCAGCCCTGACCCCTCATATACAAAGTAGTATTTTAAATTCTCCCGGTATAAAGCAAGTTGTTCACAGATAGAATATGAAGTATAAGCCAGAATTTTTTTAGATACATCCGGGATTTTCTGTTCATTTGAATTATTTTGCTCATCCAAAATTATTAGTATAAAGTAAAAATTACCCTTGGGTGCACCTACCTCTATGTGCACTCGGGTGTATAAAAGAATCTCTGATATAAGCCACACCCATTTGCATTAGTTGTCACATTACTTGTTCAAACTACAATTCTAAAGTAACTATCAATTTCAGACAGAGGGAAGGTAACATTGGCTTCTTGTTGAGCACAAAAACCTGCCAAATTGAACAAGCTCTAGAGTTTAGATCAACATTATACGAAGATCTAGGGTTTAAAAGCAATTTTCTCTTGCTGGTTGCAAATATATATTTAATGCATCAACTTGAGTAAATTTCTTGCTTGGCAACACTTTCATTGAAACATTTTCTTTGTTGAAAGTCTCGAGATGAGTTGCTTGCTTATATGAGAGGTTATCATCAGAGAGAAGCTTTGATCATTAAGAATGTATAAAAAAAACTCACCATTGTTTTCTTTTTTTCACCTCTGAACACAATCTGAGCATAAGGGTTGGTGTGATGCTCTCCCTCTACATCCTTAGCTGATATGACGCTAACCAAAAGCGCTCCTCCTTCACTAGTAATCGAGGCATTGGACAAAGATTTACTTAAGCTGTTCTGTTTACTCATCATTTCATCCCCTGGTGCCGCAAAGCTTTCACTCTCCAACTTGAAAGGATCAAAAGTGAGTTCAACTACAAGTTGCCCCCTTGGCTTCTTATCTGGAGAATCGTTCACATCAAAACTCTTGAGTAAATCGAGGGTAAAAACCTTTGCCTCATGGGGAGTTAGTTGATTTAAAGGTACTACTTGCATCCCCAGTTTATCATCTCCTCCAAACTGCATGCAAAAGCATTAAAAATAATATTGCATCAATTACAGTTGTAAGAGGATTAAGCTATGTATAATTATATATACCTTCACTATGGTCATGTAAACATTAGCCAAAAAATAAATGTGAGAGAATCCAACTATGAATACGTAACCCAATAAATCTTATATATACTCTTCCAATAAGGGATGCGAAATTAGAAAGCAGGATGCATAATGAAATTTGGCATATCTGGTCAACAAGCTAAATCAACCATGAGTGAAAGTGTGAAACCACAAATTTTCACATAGGGAGATATTGACATCTAATAAAAGAATTCCAAATATATAAATAAAAAAAATTATCACAACATTAATTGTGAGCAACATCTCTGCTTATAGTGTTCTGGAGATTTTGGAAATTCATTGCTATTCGACTTTCAGCACAAGTCTCAACTCTCCAAGCTTATCTTAAATTTATTGCAGTTTGGCTTTTGTGCATAGAACCCTTTCATCTAATAAGCTTTGATTAAAAGATTGGAGCACTGCAATGCTATACAGTTTCACAATATGTATTTTGAAAAAAAAAAAAAAGAGCATGTTCCTCCTACAGCAAAGTTATAAGAATCACTGCATGGAGATAAAGAATAAAGAAAAAAAGATTGTACTTCATATATAATAGTTCAATAACATTCCTATACTACATACTTGGATATTTATACTATTAAATTACTAGTATTGTAAGAGTTTTTAGAACTGTAACAACATGATTCAGTGTCTATGATTCTACGATTATCTTCTAAAGCTGTCATTTCTAAATTTCCACAGGTCTACTGATGGAATAGGTTATGTCTAATAGTCTTTGATTAATGAGTAACAATCAATTGACACTCCTGCATAGATATATTCTTTGTGTAGAAGTCAAGGGTAAATAATTCAATATGTTTAAAACCTGAAACTGTACTATAGTTGGGTGATAATTATGACTGAAAGCAAAAACATAATAGTCTAAGCGGAGTTTAAGAAGAAAACCTTGTCCCAGTCATAAACTTGTAGCTCGAGAACTTGGGTTTCAGGATCCTTGACGATTAGCTTAAAGTCCTCATTCCACTCCGGATTCAAGTTCCTTTTCTTGACAGATGTTTTTTTTGATGGCCTTTTTACACCACTCAACCTTAATTTAACATATGGATCAGATGTTCCTAAAAGATCCATCTTCAAAAGCTTCATTGCTCGGATAACTTTCACATGTAATATGCCAACAGGCTTCTGTACAGCAACGCTGCATGGATGTTGGATATATAACCAAAAATAAATAAATTAATAAAGGAAGAGATGAATATATCCTGGTAGAAGAGGAGGGAAGTTTGGTGTTAAATCTAAAACATTTAATATGGAATACTAGCGTAAACTTTGATAACCAAGACTGCCTTGTAGTCTGTTACACCTCTGCTTCTGCATTCTTAGTGTTTCAAAATGCATCAAGGTCTAGTATAATGTGTGTGTGTGTGTGTGTATTTATATGTATATATATACAGCTCACCCATCTACAAAGGAAATCTTACATTGAAGTATCAAGAATGGGAATTTCAAGTGATTGGGGCCAGTGATAGAGGCTTGCAACTTGTTTCTTGATAGTTTCCTGCACACAGACAGACTAGTCAGTCTGCTATGCAGTTTTGTCAACAATTTGACCTGAACCAAAATATAGCTCCTATGGTCCTACCCATTAAAAAAATCCTATGGTTGCACCTGAACTAAGCGATAAAGACCAGGTATGGACATGACATCTCCTCCAAGAACTTTTAGTCCAAAATCCACATGCGGCTGCAAAAAGATTATAAGATCAACAAAGGGAGTTGCTAACAAATTTTGATGCAACATACAAAAACTGATTTATACAGGACAGTACCTGTTCCATTAATGAGACCACTATGCTAGCGAAACATGGGAATGTTGGAACAAGGGGTTTCAGGTGTATCCTAGGATTAGCGAATACTTGTACGTCCACAAGCTGAAAAAGAGGATATTTGGTTTTCAGTATGATTTTGGATCTTAATATGGACTAAACAATACCTGAATTGAGCTTCCCAGTCAATTCTTACTTGAACCCTAATTTTTGCAGACATCAACTTTACAGCCAACACAATATTGGGATTTCCTGCCCATCTGATTGCTGGTTCCAAGACTAGTTGCTTTTCATTAGTCTCATATACTTTCATACCTGCACAAGGCATCCAGTGAAAATGAGAGGTTCAGGTGAAACTGAAGAAATAAAACTTAAGCTGGACTTTAACTTCACAGGCCACAGCAGACATTGAAAGGATATCAATTGTAGTTAAACCGGAGTAAACAAGATATGTTTCTTGTCCAAAAGTTTACACAAATTCTGCTGAATTATCTTCGATCTCAGCATGAAATAAAGAATATACCTTTGGCAATAGATATCAAAGGTAATATGAAGTATACATTTGCAAACCAAGATATTTAGAGGGATTGAATTCCGATGAACAGACAATTTTTTTTGGCCATTAGAATGAGAAAATATTAAGGTAGTGTGAGATTTCATCTGATCGATCAAACTTATAAAATTTGACTACGAGTATACTCACCGAGTAACCGACATACAAGAAAAATATATTGTCATGTAGAGTTTGTTAGATTCAAATTATTAATTGTCCAATTTTTAATTAGACATAATTAAAGATATTATTAGTCAAAGATGTGTGCTGAATATTGTACATAAAGCAAATGGGACAAACATAAAGGAACAAACAGCAGAAGTACAACCACCGATTTATTAAACTATGAAGTATCACAATAACATCAGCAGTGAGGAGGTCACCTGGGTACAACACAAGCTGATATAAGCTAATATCAGTCTAAAATAACAAAACTAAACCAACAAGCAAACCACGGGATAATATCAGTCTAGAAAATGAACAGAAAACTTTTGCTAACAACTCCTGCTTTGTGGCAAAGTGACAATATAATTGAATCAAATCTAAGCATCAAGCTAAAGACAGCACAAAGGAGCCACAAACTGAATGAGCTTTGTGTAGCAAAATTAAGATTAAAAAAAAATAGAAGCAGAGGACAGAAAATTAAACTACTGCAGTAGCTTTAAAAGCTAAATTTGTCTAATCTGACATAACGGTTATAGCCGCTTCTGGAGTTCAGGAAACTAAGAGCTAAACTGTAATAATAAGCGTGGAAAGGCGGAATATAGCAGACCCAGATTCACAAAATTGAAACCAGGACTTTACCAAGCTAGAAAACAACCAAACGTAGCATCAGCTGAAATCAATCTTCAGCTGAACACCAAAGCTGAAAATCCGGACAGAACTAGTTTGAATCAAAACTTTCTATCGCAGTAAACACTACAGCAGTGTTTCTACAAAGAAAACACAGAAAAAAAAAAAAAAAAAAAAAAAAAAAGTTCTCAACTGGTATTGTAGAGATCTGATCATGTCCTTAAGAGTTGCCTCAAAGATTCAGAGTACCTGTTATTAATTGTAAACATGACTTCCCCAAACAGGTTCCTTTACAGTTTCTTTTCGACTGAATTAGTGAAAAATTTACAGTTTCTTTTCAACCGAATTCCATGTTAAGATTCAGTGAAGAGCATAGTTTCAGGCCGAACCACATCTGAGTATGTGTTAATTCAAAAGGACTATGCCGAAATTAGAAGAATCCTACGCAGAATTTTTTTTGCATAATATATTAGCCACCACATATCAATCATACCCTCCTTTTCTGCTACTGTTATTCCTCAACATTAGGTGAAAAATTACTAGGCTCGTGGAAAGATTTGTTTTTCCATGCAAAACATAAGATACATGTACCAAATATGTGTACTAGCTAACAAACCAAACTGGTAAAGCATACTCACCATAAAAAGTAGGTGGAAGGGTTCCAAGACTTAGATTCTCAAAATCAATGTCCTTTATCTGATATTTTCCTATGTAATCAGCAAACATAGGCTTTGCCGTGCTTCTGATCGTGTTGCAGATTGCCTGTAAATATTAATGAATTGAGCATCAGAGCTTACTCACTCAAAAGATAGTTTCGCCAAGGGAAACTCACCTTATCGAGATAAGGCCACATATCCGACACAAACGAGTTCAGCCAATCCACCTGATAGATTGAAGCCTGCTTAGATATCTTCATTTTTGTTGATAATTGATAAGAAATCTGAAAAGTACTACTTACTCGCTCATAATCAGGACTCTTTACCCAATTTGGAATATCAGGTAAAACACTCAACAGAGTATCTGTATCGAATTCCTGAAGTGGGGTAACAACTTGCTCCTGTGTCCATGTTTAACAAGCTCATGAGTAATAAAACAATTTAAGAAACCTTGTTATTGCAAAGATATTATGAAATTAATTTACAGTCAGATTAAGCAACTGAATAAGATTGTTAATATGTTGCATCTGAGCAACTTGCCATCTCGTTAGTCTAAGTAGTATTGCCAATGCTGCAGACCTTCTTAATCCAAAACATCAAAATAAATTGCACTGAACAATTAATTTTAAATGCCCATTTAATGCAATTAAAAAATTAAAAAAAAAAAAAAAAAAAAAAAAAAAAAAAAAAAAAAAAAAGCTCCAAAGACATAATAATTTGTCAGAAAAAAATCAGCAATTTTAAATATTAGATTAAGAGACCATAAATAATCAAAATGCCCATTAGACCCTTGATCAAATTTACTCTGTTACTTTATTGAGAGGTAGAGGCCCTTAATGAGTATGCTACAATGTATTATCAAACAATTATTTAGGTGTATCAGGATTATCAAAGGTGGTGGCTTAAACAAGATACAAAACATTGTATCAATTTTCAATCATAAAGTCAAGGGTACAAACCCCAAGACTTTACCAACTAAGCTAGTAGACACTCACACAGCATATATTCTCATATTATAAAGTTGAAAAACGGCTTTCATACAAGGTCACCCAAGAGTACATCACAGGGTGCATGGACATGCATTTAGAACTTTTAAGATTGGGGGGGGGGGGGGGGAGGTGTTGGCGCTTTATTCTGTTTATATTACAACCATATGTATATTAAAATATAATCAATACATTATAAGAATAAACAAGCTGAATAAGTTATGCCATTGCAGAATATAATATTGAAGATCTTTGCAACATTTTAATTTGATATCTGGCCATCGAAAGGGAGATACAGCAATACAACATCAACCCGTGTCTTTTTCATTTTTTTTCTTCCAATTTATATGATTACATTCACACCTCCATCAATCCAGATATAGTCAAAGAACACAAAATGTTTGCAACTTAATCCTTCCACAGTCCTCCCACCCAACATGACATCACTGCCAACTATCAAACAAACAAGAAATATAACCATTGAATGAACCAACTTAGCCAAAATCTTCAATCCCTTATTATATTCCAGTACAATCAATTCAGCTGAAAACTTCAAGCCCAGATACCCATTGAATATCAATTCCTATTTATATTTCGCAACTAATTATATCAAACTAAAATTAAAAGGCTTGAAGTAGTCAACTAGATAAACCAAATTCTATTCATTTGATATAAATTACTGAAAATTCAGCTAAAACAACTAAAACCCAAAAACAATATCATTATATCAATCAAAAAATCACAAATAATATGATGAAAAAATTAAAACAAAGTACAAGAGCACTGCAAAGATTATATCATTATCATAAGTCTAAAATAATCATGACTCAGTCAAACAATTTATCAAACAGTAAAGGTGCATTACCTCAACATCTTTAGGCTTGGAATATATAAAGAAGAAAAACCCAGCAGCAAGTCCAATTGGAAGACCAATGCAAAAACCCAGAATTCCTACAAAAGTACTCACAAAACCCATATCTTTTTTCTGTGAAATTATCAGTCTTTAGCTATGAAATGATCATTTTTAGAGCAATTTGATAAAAGAAATTGATATAATTGAATGTGGGATTTTTTAGTTTGGTGGAAATAATTGGAAATTGTTTTACAAGGAATTCGAAAACGCTACGACAACCTGGGTTTCGCTCTCAAAGAAAGACCAAATGTCGAAATACAGTGTTCATAGTTGTTTTGTATTTTGGTTTATACAAGAAATATGATAATAACGACAACCTGGGTTTCTATATAAAATACACCACAAATACAATAATAACGACACTTTGAAAATGTGAATGTACCTGAAATTAATTTAAGAGGTATTTGTTTATCAGAAAAATCAAATAAATAAATAAGTCCCGTTTAATCCACTCTATATTTAGAGAACTGATATTTTTTTGCTAACTAGCATAGTGCTCGTACTATGCATGGTTTATCAATTAAATTATTAATTCCGTAGGAAAAAAAATAAAGATAATTCAATTAGTAATAAATTGTGAAAAAGATATACTTGTACAAATATTTTTAAAATTAAATAAACAATAATAGCACATTCATTCCACTTGCCTTTTCTGTGTGGTCGGGTTACTTATAGGGGTTACCTAATCAGGGGTTACTCAATCGGTCAAGGGGTTACTTATTTTGGAGTTACACAGTCGGTTAACGCGTTTTCGCCGAGATTACTTATTTCGGGGTTACTTATTTAGGGGTTACACAGTCGATCAGGGGTTACTTATTCTAAATTTACTCAGTCGATTAGCGCGTTTTCTGTATGAGAGTAACCCCTAATCTACCGAGTAACTCTTGAATAAGTAACCCCTATAAGTAACCCCTAACCAAACGAATAACCCCTGAATAAGTAACCCTAGAATAAGTAACCCCACAGGGCCAACCACATATAAAATTTGTGCATACATATATATATATATATAAACTATGAAAAATATTTATCATATTGGAAATATAATCAATTATTTGGAATCAATCAAAGTCAATAAAATATATTTCAATATCAATGTAATTTATATAATATATTGATTACACATGGAATAATATAGATATAATTAATGATTTATACAATAAAAGATATGAAAAATATGTTAATCACATATAAATATTTTTTTTAGGAGAGTGAATCACAAGTATGTGATTTGATGAATATATATAAAGAATAATTTAAATAAAGTAGTTGAAGTAAAAAAAAAAAAAAAAACGATTTTGAAGGGAAAAAATACCACCAGCTGGTGTCTATTTTAGTATTATGTTATTGATTGAAATTACTAGATGAATCCCGTGCGATGCACGGTTTATTTGTATTTTTTCAAATAAAATATTTTACTAAATATATATTTATTTATAAACTTTGTGATATTCGCTTGCTTACTACTTGAATGTTTTATTATAAAATGAATTATTAACTTTGTTTCTCATATTTTGATAAAATTCGTAATATAAAAAGATAATAATTTATTTCACAAAGTTTCATATGTGGCTGGTCACACCGTGTGGTCGGGACTACTTGGTTAGAAGTTACTTGGTTGATCAAGGGTTACTCAATCGATCAGGGGTTACTCGGTCAGTGTTTGGGTGTATATTGTCTCAGTCGGCTACACGATATGGTCAGCTACACAAAAAACACGCTGATTTTATTTTTATAATTAATATAAAATTTTGATCTAAAATAAATTACAATTCTTTTTTTTCATTGGCTAAAATATAACATTTTTTTATGTGACGCTCTAAAATTAATCTAACGTGGCATAATCCTATTGTAGCATTTTAAAAGTATTAATCCTACTTGACGCTTTTTTTATTATAATCCTACGTAGCGTTTTGAAAAAAACTAATCTTATGTGCCACAATCCAATTGTAGCGTTTTAAAATTATTAATCCTAAGTGGAGCTCTAATAATTTTTTAAAAAATAAAATCCTACGTGGCGCTTTAAAAACTCGGGAAAAAACTCCCCTTTATATATATACTAGTTTGGTGCCTGGGCGATACCCAGATGGTATATATATAAGATTTAGGATAAACTTTTGGTGTGAATATTAAATATGGTCATATAACCCTTTTGATAATTTATATAGTAGTGTACTTTTTGTAGTTTTGCTTGTAGATAGATATCTTTGTTATTATTGACTTGAAATTATTTATATTGAACTTAAATTATTTTTATAGAACTGAAAGTATTTTTAGCAAACTAAAATTATTTTTTACTGAACTTAATTTAAATTATGTTATTATTAACTTGAAATTATTTTTATTGAACTTAAATAACTTTCATTGAACTAAAAGTATTTTTACCAACATTCATTATTATTTTTAAAAATAAATTAATGTATTATTAATGGATCTTATTTTAAAGAACTTTTTAGAACAAATTTGATGCTGAAATAGAATTGAGTTATAGGATATTTATAAAAAGTTATGATTAATTTTGTATATATGAAATATTATAATTCTATCGACAATAAAACTCTATACGACGACAATTTTATCTTAAATTATCTATCCAAAAATCGCTTACTTAGCATCATACATGTCACAATAATACCTATTTATCGCCTACGTGGCACGACACTTGGCGAAAAACTGGAATGCCAAGTGTCGCTGTCTCGTGGCCTGGCTGCGAGACCGGCTTTATTTATTAGTGATATGATATATTAGATTAATACTGATCTATTTTACTACCTCCGTTTCAAATTATCTGCAACGATTTGATATAAAGTATGAGTAGAATAGGCCAATTAGCCACATTGGTATAAAAATTAGCACCCTTGCGACATATTGGTATAAAAATTATAATCGGCAACATATTGGTACAAAAGTTAGCAAAATGTGACAAATTGGTATAAAAGTTTGCATAAGGTGACAGATTGGTATAAAAGTTAGTAAACAGTGACATTTAGCCCTTTTTTCATGTCGAAGTAAGTGTGTACCATATTATTTTAAAATATATTATAACTTTTTTTTTTCTTAGTGTTAAATATTGTTCAATATTTTTACAACTCTAAAAAAGCAAAGAACAACCAAAGAATAAAAAATAAAAAAAAAATAAAGGAAAAATGAAATCTTTTAAAATAGAGTAAAATTCAAGACAATGCAATAGAGTTATTCAAGAAAAATTATTGCAAGATCGAGATTAAATTACACATTTTTGGCTTTACATTGAGCTTTCAATATATGCAATATAAAAGAGTATACAAATAAATTTGTTCCCAACGTCTATAATTTTATAACCTTTAAGCTAATTTCAACTAGCTTTAAGTTTTATTGTTTTAAGACATGAAATCTTAGGCCTTTTCTAGAATAATTCTCACTTCTAAAACTCCAAATTATAATCAGAGTATTTGAAACAAAAATAATAAAAAATAACTAAAAAAAAGTAAGTGATCTACTTGCTACATCTACAAATATGTCAATATGAACAATGTTTGATCAATAATTCTCCCACGCATTTTCTCCTCTTTCCCCTTCTGTATATTTATCACTTTCTTTTTCTCTTTCAATTCATCTTTTTGAGAATTCTATTTGCTCTCATAGATGTTAAAAACAATAATAATAATAAATAAAAGAAAAGCTACTATATGATACGCGGTTCCTCCGACAACAAAAAAAGGTCAAATGTCGCCATTTGCTAACTTTTATACCAATATGTCGCAAATGTGCTAACTTTTATACCAATATGTCGCAAATGTGCTAACTTTTATACCAATTTGTCGCCTCTATTAACATTTATACCAATGTGTCACAAGGGTGTTAATTTTTATACCAATTTGGTCAATTAGCCGAGTAGAATATGTTTAATTGTTACAAATTATTTGAAATGGTAATAGTATATTAATAAAAATATACCTTAAAAATATACATATTTTTTAAAAAAAAAAAAAAAAAGAAGCTAGTGTTGTTTTTATTTAGCTCAGTAAAAATAAGTTCATTTCAATAACAATTACACTTTAGTGAACTGAGGAAGTATATAAAATGGATCTTGTTTTGAAAAACTGTTTTTTTTTTTGAAAAACTGTTTTTTTAAAAAAAAATTATGTTGTAAAAAAAACAAATTTATAAGATAATTATTTAAGTTAAAGTTTCTTTATACAATATTAAAAGTTAATATATATAATATAATAAAACTCAAAAATAATATTTTTATCACTTTCTTTTTCTCTTTCAATTCATCTTTTTAAGAATTCTATTTGCTCTCATAGATGTTAAAAACAATAATAATAAATAAAAGAAAAGCTACTATATGATACGCGGTTCCTCCGACAACAAAAAAAGGTCAAATGTCGCCATTTGCTAACTTTTATACCAATATGTCGCAAATGTGCTAACTTTTATACCAATATGTCGCAAATGTGCTAACTTTTATACCAATTTGTCGCCTCTATTAACATTTATACCAATGTGTCACAAGGGTGTTAATTTTTATACCAATTTGGTCAATTAGCCGAGTAGAATATGTTTAATTGTTACAAATTATTTGAAATGGTAATAGTATATTAATAAAAATATACCTTAAAAATATACATATTTTAAAAAAAAAAAAAAAAAAAAAAAGCTAGTGTTGTTTTTATTTAGCTCAGTAAAAATAAGTTCATTTCAATAACAATTACACTTTAGTGAACTGAGGAAGTATATAAAATGGATCTTGTTTTGAAAAACTGTTTTTTTTTTTTAAAAAACTGTTTTTTTAAAAAAAATTATGTTGTAAAAAAACAAATTTATAAGATAATTATTTAAGTTAATGTTTCTTTATACAATATTAAAAGTTAATATATATAATATAATAAAACTCCAAAATAATATTTTTATCCTAAAATAACTTTATTATTATTCTATACAAACTCTTAAATTCACATTAATTTATTGTGCACCACTGATAGTAGAGAGATACTATGGTCGTTTTATTAATTAAAAAAAAAAAAAAAAAAAAAAAAAAACTATGTTAAAATACAAGTTATATATTATGTTAAAAATAAAAGTGATTGTGTCTTTATAAAGGTCATATATAAGAGATTAATTTTTTAATGAAAATTTTAAAATACTCGTCTATGTGAATAACAAAGGTTATAGGTTAAAATTAGGATCACTATATTTAACATAACGTCATTTTTCAGGTTTGTAATAATATTAAAAATCACACAAGTTTTAATAAATGTTACTATGTTAAGATTAAAATTACTAAATCATATCACTAATAAATAAAGCCGGTCTCGCAG